AACCTCCCGTCACTTCTTCTCTCTTCGGTCCAAATATTCTCCTCAACACCCTGTTCTCAAACATCCTCAGTCTATGTTCCTCCCTTAATGTCAGAGACCAAGTTTCACACCCATACAGAACCACAGGCAAAATTATATAGTTTTGTATAANTCTCTGTGTTTACTTCTAGACCAACCTCTTTACTTGCATCAATTAAAGTTTGTGTGTTTTTCTTTATGGTATCCACATCACCCAGTAGATTCACATCATCGGCATAGGCCAACAACTGATGTGTCCCGTTTAATTTCAGCCCCACCTGGTTTCCCTGGACCTTCCTAATGGCATATTCTAAGGCAAAGTTGAAAAGGGGTGGCGATAAAGCATCTCCTTGTTTTATACCATTCTGGATAGGAAATTTATCAGACAAATGTTTACAGTTATTCTTTTAATGTTTTATTACATCAGGTACAGCAGTATTAAGAAGAAATGTTCCTGTTAAAAGGAACAATTCACAGAAACTAATGTACTGGTTGAAGGAGCCAAAAACTGCTGAAGTGACCAGTGCTGGGTCTGAGGTTCTCACAGTGGTGGTTATATTGTAAAGAATTAATTGCTAAACTTAAGAAAAGAAACTACTTTCCTATGTAAACAGGGAAGCTAATGTAAATGTGAATCATAAAGAAACAGGCTTTGGTTTATTAGTATGAACTGATTTGAAGAGACAGTCTGATGGCAGACTTCTTTGGAGGACCTAGTTCCATAACAGAATATCTTGGTCAGCTACAGAACATCACAATTGCATGGGTTGCACTTCTGCTTCATATTTTGGCCCTGAGACTGTGCTGACTATGTTTCTCTTTTGTGATTTTTTACAATCCCCTCCCTCCAAGAAAATGCCAGAACAGTATACCAAATTTAACTTTTTTCATTCTGGTCCGTCACACTAGTTAATTATTATAAAATGATTTGACAGTACCTCAATACACAATGAAAGGAGAAACAACTAGACAACACACATCCTTAATGAATCATAAAAAAGAGGGAAACAACACTGCCCAGATCTCAGAGGATGGCAAACAACACCCCAATCTCCTGCTTTAACAGAAGAGGCATGGAGACACAAACCTCAGTGGTTCAAGATTTTAAATATTAAGGACAATAATATATTGTAACGTGTTTCGTTACTGATCCCACTTCTGACACCAGTGTAACGTGTTTCGCGTTACTGAAGACACCGTAGAGATGGTTAATTGGTTTATTTAACAATCTACAAATAACGGCTACAATTACTTATCTCACAGTTGCGGGGTTTCACACTTTATAACCCTAATCGCATTAATCTGTTAACACTGTTGCGGGGTTTCACGACTGATAACCCTATGCGCAAATCAGTTCACTCTGTCTTCAGTAGTATACACGTTGACAGTAGGGGAGCTAGGTATCACTGTATCACACGCTCCCAATTACACAATTACACCCACGTCCGGTTCTTCTATCCGCGACGGTTGCTATACTCCAACTTGTAGTCGGCTGACTGTTACCTTATAACTCGGAAATGTCTTCGGCGATGGCCACAGTATAACTCGACTCGGCGGTAGCCACACTGGAACTGAAGTCACCGACTGCTACAGTAGAACTCTGGTAGCTGCTGTGCAGCTCACTTATATAGCTGCAGTGCTTGCCTGTTGCGTAATGAGTGCCACGCCACAGTAGGAAGTTGATTACAGGTGTGTAGCGTTGCGCGTTACGTCACCGCGGAGGGGAGTGGCAGGGCGGGAACTTGCCTATTACCGTAGTAACGCGAGCGTTACGTTACCGCCACGTACCACTGGGGAGGTAGGGGTGATCCATAGCTCAACATGTCACAATATTTTTAACTTAATTAAAACACTTCATACAAATTTTTAAGCACATGTACTATGATCTATGTAATAGACGTTCCTTNTACTTTAACATAAGGAACACCCTCCTGAAGTTTGGTCCATTCCTCCTGGGACACCCTGTATATACTGAGTCATACTGGACGGTGTTGGCAAATAATTTCATAATATTATGAAATAATAATATGTAGTATACCAGATTAGGCCATGATTGCTGTCTCCCACATTCTAAGCAACTGAATACTCACTAAACATTCTACCATTTCATATATATTATGAGCTATTGAAAGCATTGTTAAATAAACCATGAACATTTAAATGAAAGTTCTGATGAGGTGAATAAATACAAATTGTTGAAGGAAGAAGACTCTATACTTTAGAGTTAGGATATCTAGCCTAGCTATGAAGTTGATGAATCCAGTGTCATCTTTTATAAGACTCAGTAGTATTTGAATGAAAAATAAACAAAACTTGAAACTTCTCAATCTAATCATATTGCTTTATTTGTTCTTATACTGTAAAATACAAGACAGCGTTTTATTCAAATGATCCTGTTAGTACAGTAATCATGTTAGAAGAGGACTGTATTTATTTTCTGTTCTCTGAACTACAAGAAATATTGGAGTCTGGAAATGTCCCCTTTAACATATATTAACTGTTTCAGCAAACAGCTAGAAGGGACAATAATGACAGGTATTCCACAGTGATCCTTTTATTGCTCTCCATCTAGTGCTACAGATTATGCAGAACTTGTCATTGTGTTTCATAAAAGCTGTGTAACATAAGTATTTCAAATATTTTGCATGGAAATGCCACACCTTTTCAAATACATGCAATATACACCTGTCTCTGTCATTCAGATTAGTTCATGAGAGGCCCACTTCACGGGCTTGGTTACTTTGCTGCTGGGAGAACATGTCCTGAAATCTGTTCTAATCATAATGCAAAGTCAATTATCAGAAAGTGATTTCCTGTTGCTATAATTCTGTAAATATTTCTGTAGTGCTTAAAAACTTCCATTTGGTGTTAGGACTTAATATCTGTAAATAATAATGCATGATATGTTACATATTTTATGAATGTTTATTTATTCCAGGCTGGCATAAGCCTAAATGTTGCTTCAGGCAATAATAATCTTCCCCCTCCAGTTAAAAATATGGCAACTTTCTCAAAACTCTGTCATGATAACATAGAATTCCCAAACACTCTGATGAAAACTGCCACTACTATCATTATTCTTAAAACGGTTTTATTCATATTGCTGTAAAACATGTTTGGACTACTGCCAACCAATGGTCATGATATGAACAAAGGAGCAGTACAAATTATTTTCATTTTAAAAAGTTGTAAAATGTGCTGCCATGCTGGCCCTGAGTTTATTAAAAAATCATGAATACAACCCCAGGAAAATATAATTCACAGCAACATGTTCTGATCGAGTTACAGGTCATCATCAGGCAGTCACCCTCATGTACGATGTCACTTAGAGCCAATGTGCTGCAGGTCACAACTTGAATGGAAGATGACATAAGAAGTTTGTGTCTCTACCACTGGACTGATGGGAGTCTCTCAAATGATTTTCCTGTACATAAGTTTCATAGTTATTAAAAAAAAAACTTGTAATAAAATTATATATTAAAACTTTGTGAGAAACTTGACACCATATTTCATCAGCCAGAAGGAACATACATAGTCACAACCATCNTCTCAAATGATTTTCCTGTACATAAGTTTCATAGTTATTAAAAAAACTTGTAATTAAATTATATATTAAAACTTTGTGAGAAACTTGACACTATATTTCATCAGCCAGAAGGAACATACATAGTCACAACCATGCCTACAGGCATTTAACTACTTATATGTTATTGTTAATCTCTCTTGTATCTTGATTTTAGTATTTTCATTGTTCAAAAATTCTGATTCAAATAAGTAAAACTAATATCTGCATTTAGTCATGTGTTCAGATTTGTTACTCTTTGACTCACAGTGGTAATAATTTGTAAATATTATAACAAATTGGATGGGCTTAAGGTAACTGAATGTAACATAATGAAACCAGATAAAGGAGCATTATGTGGAAACAAATATGGCTTTGTAATTCTCTGATGGGGGAACACATGCTGTAACCTGTACTTCCACTAAGAATGACATTTAAAAGTGCCTTGGCCAATTTAACTGCATATGAAGTTATTAACTCTGTACTAAAATTAATGAGAACAAATTATATAAACACAGAAGAACAATTTTTGTGGGGAATTAATGAAATAGCAAAATAAAGTGAAAGCTAATGAATGAATGATATTTAATCCTTTCCTTTAGCAGAGAAAACAAAATAGGTCATTTGGATGTGTGTAAGCCAATACAGATTCAATTAACAAAATTAGGACATCAATGCAGTACATCATCTCTGCAGACCTAACATTGTGGTTGCACTGCTGCTTTGTATTCATGAGATTCCTGGTTCACATCTTGACTCATGAACTGGCTATCCTGAATGATGATTCTTATACTTTTCCTCAGTCCCTCCAGGAAAATACCTGAATTGTAGCTTAAACTAGGCCAAAGCTGCTTCCTCTTGAATCCTTTCCAATTTATTCATTAATTCTACCATTCAAAGCTATATAGTCTGAGTTGCTAAGAGTGTCATTAAATAATTCATAAATAAGTAAGTAAATAAATAAATAAATAAATATTCATCCCTGCATGCCAATAGATTCACTCACTAATGGAGTTCAGCCCTTCTTGAGAAGCCGAATTGTGCAACTTCCCAGCATTCCAGGGAACCCAAAGGTTCATTACTGTGTTCACAAGACCCTTCCACTGGTCCCTGTCTTCAGCCAGATCAATCCAATCCATCCCATCCCACCTTATCTCTCTAAGATCCATTTTAATACTGTCCATCCACCTACATCTTGGTCTTCCTAGTGGTCTCTTTCTTTATGGCTTTCTCATCAATATCTTATATGCAATCCACTTCTCCCCCATTCGGGCTACATGCCTTGCCCATCTCATCCTCCTTGACTTGATCATTATAATTATACTTGGAGAAGAGTACAAGTTATGCAAATTTGAAAAGCAGTGACAATAAAGAATCTCCTTGTTTTAGACCATTCTGGATACGAAAATTATCAGACAAATGTTTATCTAATCGGACTTTACAGTACGTTTTGTTTAAACACATTTCAATCAGCCTAACTAGCTTCATGGGTCCCTCAAACTCTAACGGAATATTGTACAATACTTCCCCCCTAACTGAATCATAGGTTCTCTTGTAGTCTATGAATAGCTGATATACTGTCTCACCGAACTCCCATTTTTTCTCCAGTATCTGACAAATGCAATGTCAAAACCCACACTCATGATCCCCAATAATTTCATCTATGTATAGAGTTAACCTTGAGAGAAGAATGTTGGATAAAATTCTGTATGAAGTTGATAATTTCTATCACCCTTCTTGCGAACTGGTACAATAATAGATTCCTTCCACTGATCAGGCAATTTCTCCTTATTCCAAATAGAATTAATTAGCTTATGGATCTCAGAATCTCCTCCTTAAATCAGTTCTACTGAAATTTGATCACTACTTGGCCATTTATACTGTTTCAACTTTGCAATAGTAATTTCAAACTCCAAATGATTAGGATCAGGTACTAATGGCTCAGCTGTATGTATTTCTATCTGCCTAACATCACTCAATAACCGAGAGAAGTAGTTCTTCCACCTATTCAAAATGTTGTGGGAATCTGCAAGCAGATCACCATTCTCATCCTTCACTAAGTTACTTGTAGGTTCGTAATCCCTCTTAAAATCATTTCTTCTTCTATACAGGTTTCTAATGTTCTTGTTCTTACTATTCATTGTGAGCTCAACAATTTTGTCTTTCAGATATTCCCTCTTTTTATTCCTGAAATGCCTGCTGGTTTCACATCTTATATTGTTCAGATTATCCCCATTTATTCACTTGGATCCTGTAACCACTGTGGTTTGGCTTGTTTTCTTTGGTATAATAATTTTGAGCATCCTTTATCAAACCATGGCTTATGCTTCTTCAATTCATGATAATCTAGACCCTCTTTGGCAGAAATTTTGATATTCTCTCAAACAGTTTCTCAAGCTCTATTAATATCCACCCCAATGTCTTTAAGTTTTCCAAAGCTGAGAATTTATTTGAGATTTCAACACAATACTGCTCTTTACTCACTACCTCATTTAATTTCTTGAGATTGAACCTCTCCATATGAACTCTGTGCATTGTTTGTTTGCTTACTGCCAGTCTCTCCCTAACTTTTGCTACCACCAGACAGTGGTGAGTATCATAATCTGCTGCCCTGAATGATCGGACATCAAGTAGACTTGAGTGCCATCTCCTGTCTGTCAAAATATGGTCAATCTGGTTGTGTGTCTTCCCATCAGGAGATGTCCAAGTAAATTTATGAATATTACGATGTGGGAACATTGTACTTTTGACAATAAGATTTTTTAATTGGTCAAAATTTACTATGCTAACTCCATTATCATTACTAATTTCATGCAAACTCTCATTCCCAATCGTCGGTTTGAAAATGTCTTCCCTATCTACTTTGGCATTGAAATCTCCTAACAAAATTTTCATATGGCATTTAGGGAAGTTATCAAATACATGTTCTAGTTCTTCATAGAACCTGTCCTTCTTATCATCAGTTTTATCTACTGCTGGGCATTAACATTCAGAATGATATCACACCAGCCACCTCTTAGTATTATGTATGACATATCACTAAGAAACTACCCTCTTAACTGCTGATATGATTCTCTTATGTACAAAAGAAGTGTACCTGATTCATGATTCCCATTCTCCTTTCCACAGAAAAATGTATGTTCACCCACTGGTTTGGTGCCACCCCCATCCCATCTGATCTCCTGTATTCCCATTAAGTGTAACTTGTATTTTGAGATTTCTTCTGCCACTGCCCTGAGCGAACCTGCCATACTACATACTTCCAACATTCCAAGTACCAAATCTCATATCCAGTTTCTTTTTCTTAGGTCATTTATGAAAACAATCCATCCAGGTCTGAGGCTTCTTGTGATCTTTCATAAGTCATTTTTATGGTGAGGAGTTGTTAGCCCCATGCTGAACCCCCAAGCTGGAGAACCACCCCCTTGTCAGCTCCGCAACTGCTTATTCACAGCTGCCCTCCATCTGCAACCTGAGGATGCACCATGCCATGACAAGCAACCTACCTAAAAATTTTGCTCAGTGGGGGGTGGAGTCCAACTGGGTCTACTCAGCACGGCAGCCAGTGATTGGCCTGTTGTAGCCTCCCCCATGTGATTATGATGATGGAGAATTTGGTGGAATAAAGATTGGCAGGGAAAACTGAAGTACTTGCAGAAAACCTGCCCCAGTGCCACTTCATCCATCACAAATCCCAATTGACCAGACCTGGGATCAAACCCAGGCTGCCTTGGTGGGAAGCCAGCGACTAACCGCTTAAGCTATGGTGCGGCCTCAGCGACCCACCTAATATGACATGTCAATATATTATGTCCCATAATACTTCTTATACTTAATTATCTAAAGGGCCAATTTCTTAGTTTGTTGTTGTGGAATTCCTGAAGGAAAATAATGTTACAGTACTCAGCATATTTGGTATAAACGTTGGATTTATATCAGTGAAAGGGTTAATATGGAATATACTGTAATAGAGTTCTTAACTTCATGGGCAGTAACAGGCTACTAGTTCACACAGAATGATGTCAGCTGTACCAATTTAATGTTACAAACAATTTATTAACAAAAATCTGCAGGAAAGATGAAACTTACTATAGTATATCTGACCAGTTTCAACATGTAATTTACTGAGAGTTAGGTAAATTAATGAACACTATGTTCAACTTACCCTCCGTTTAGGAACAATATGCCATTACATGTATTGTGTTCTCCTGCCAGACAATCTGTCACACTGATTTTGTCACCTTCTGGCATAGGTATCCTCTCACTTGCAGAGCAATAACTTATGGAAAGTAAATTTTGGGCTCTTACATGAGATTTTGTGAACAAATTAACCACAATATAAAACAACATAGGAAGGAAAATTATCCTAAAATTTACTGTACACAACTGAATGCAACAGCTCCAGAAAGGAGTGAGAGATAAAGTCAATCATGGAAGAGGCATCCTATTAGGTTTCTGTTTCAACAATGAATACTGATGAACTATCCAAAACTTTAAGATTTATGTATGCAGATTACTAACTGTTTTGAGTAACAATGTAGACCTTCACTGAGTTCTCACTAGTTTAGCCATGGATGCATCAAGCAGTCTGCAGCTGTGGCACGTCGGTTAGGATCAAAGTCCAGCATTGGACGCAGGAATGAGGTGAACTCCGCTGCTTCTGTGTGATCCCACTCGTACTTCTCTGTTAAAACTTCAAACAATCCCCAAGGTTTTAGTCCTGTAATATGCCGCAATTCACACTTCTTGCTGAAGAACTGGCGAGAATGTTTCCCGGACATTGCTATCCTCCTTGGTATTTTTCCCAACAACTCAATGATATGAGCCAAATGATCCTCATCACGCGTATAGTCTTCGCCAGAGTGAGGTTCAAACAAGTAATCACCAGTAGCAAGTTCAAATGCCATGCAGGCTGTGCTCCAGATATCTGCAGATGTTCCATATCCTGCTCCCAAAAGAACTTCAAGTGAACGATACTGTCGAGTTTGTATGTCTTCTGTGAAATGTCGATTCACCCAACAAGCATTTCCTAGGTCGGCTATCTTCACCTCCACGTCACATTCTTCTAAAGCAGGATCTGGCTGATGCATCTTCGGTTCTTGGGTTAATGCTATAGAATGGTGAGGAACTATGTGAGACTGCTTGCTCTTTTCTAGAGATTCTTCTATGAGCTTTATGTCACTATCCGGACCCATCACATCACTTACACCTTCTGAACAGCTTCTGACCTCATGCAACTGATGCATATTCATGTCTTCTGTCCTTTCTATTTCACTGTCTCCCATGGATGCGTGGCACAGTTGTGTATCATCACAGCCATTTTGGTAAGCTGTATTTATGACTTTGCATTCACCTGAGTTGTCATTATCTTTCTCATCAGAATCTTCACATTTTTCTGGTTGTATTAAGGTTGAGTCACCTTCGGCCATTGGAGTCTGATAGCTGCTTTCAGCTTTAAGTTCTCTCTGCTTCTGCTCTTCTATCTCCTCAATCTGTTCCATCTGCTTCCTCAGTAGTTCTGTCTGGCGTTTTGCTTTCTTTTTTAACTTCTTCTTTTTATTTTTTGACATTTTGGCATCTAGATTTGGCTCCTGAAATTCCTTTGGAGCAGTACTAATCAAAGAAACAGGCAACTTCAGACCCATTGTATGTAGCTCAGTGGCTTCTGAAGCTAACCTCCTTATACAATTCTCATCAACACAAATCAGAACATTCTCTGGCTTGATGTCAGTGTGGATTATCTTGCATTTTGTATGAAGATAATGTAACCCTTCAAGGACTTGCCTGATTATTGATTTGACATTTGCACGAGGTATACCACGATAATTGCTTTTGATTATTAACTTCAGGAGATTGTGGCCAAGCACTTCAAATACCATGCACACGTGAGTGCCGTTGACACCGGTAATCTTGAAATCGTTCAGTAACTGCACGGTCTTGTTTCTCTTTGGATCATTCACATCAGTATCACGAACAGTTTTTAGAAGCTTTATTTCATCTAATGCTGTTTCAGTAAAATGTGATGCGCTCTTAACTACTTTCAGTGCAACAAACTGCTTATCTATAAGATCCCAGCATAACCACACCGTTGAAAAGTGACCCCAACCTAACTTTCTGGCAACACGATATCTACTTTGGAAGCAGTCCCCAATTTTTACGGGATGGTATCCACCCTTACAGTAATCCATTGTATCCTCTTGCTCTTCCTCATCTGAGCTACAATACTCATCCTCGTCATCCTGTATAGTTTCATTAGAAGAGGAATGACACGGATCTACCTTGCTCGAGTAGGATCGAATATCTCTGTTGGCAGTTGAGCCATGTTCTTCGGTCTTCCCTTTCCTCTTACCAGGTTTATGTCTCTTCTTTTTCGCCTTTATAGCAAGAATCCGCCTATTTACTTCTATATTCAAACTCATTTTTGTCGATTTCTATTGACACTTAACCTAAATTTATATCATTTTCCGTTATCATTTGATTATGGCGGCGGCTCACAACAAAGCTCCTACAGATGCAGATGGCGCAGTAAACATATTACTAAAACAATTGAAAGACAAGAAGCAACGAACTAGTTTCTAACATATTATGACCCATGGGTTGAAACAGGTTATTTATTATCACATTGCCAAACACCAAAATATCTTCTAAATGTAACGTTTAGTAATTTTTTATACGGGTTCATATAGTAGCGTAAAATGTTAATTTATACAAATGAAGAGCTACCAACCTAATATTTATTTCACAGCAGAGTCGATCAGCTGATTGAGTTTCGTTTCTAATATTTTTCAGTGTAAATATCGTTAATTAATACGTGAAACAGAAATGCTATACGGAATTATTGACTTTGATTTCCTCCACACTTTTGACCGCTTTTGACGACGTGCCAATGATGCTGTATAATATTATTCCGAACGCACTTGGAAGTATGCAACATACCATAGACTAATAGAGTATATAAACATGAGATTGCGCTAAATGCATATCATTGAAAAGCGCGGGAATTGTTATATTGGTGTTTCGTTGAAGACGGGAATAGCGCAAACGAGAGCAAGGTTTCGGAAAAGAGAAAAATGTCGCAAACACATATTACAAGCTATTTTAATAAACGTAAAAGAGCTGGTGACGAGGTAAAGGATCGAAAAAAAGTAGTAGTGGTTGATCGTCATGATCCTGAAGCAGGCGTCTCCGTAGGTAAAGAAGTTCATGTTATTCATAAAGCGTTGGTATTAGATACGCCCGAATCTTTACACTCTGTTTATAAAAACAAGAGTTTAGTTGAGCATGTCCCGATAGATTGTGCGAATAAGTTGACACGTGAAAATGACAAACCAGTTTCATATGAAAGCCAAGGTAAAGCATCAGAAAAACCTACTAACCAGGAGAGATCCCAAGGGAGGAAAGCTACTCAAGTTTCCAAAAGTTCAACTCAACCAACAATTCATCACATACTTTTGAAAATTAATGGAGCCGAAGCGTATGATAAGGAACATCCTAGGAATGGCACAACGCTGCATACATATGCAGAAGATGGATCGTTTTTGGTAAGATACTGCCCCACTGAAGTGGATGATATTTTGAATAAGATGCATCTTTTGTGGATCGTTTATCATTGTTATGAAGTAACATGGCTGCTATATAGAAACTGGTGCAAAATCCTGGGAAGAAATGTGCTCCTTGAGTGATTGTATCACTTCCACCATTGATTTGGGGAAGATATCGTCCTGTTTTTGCCAAGCAATTTGCCCACTTGCATGTTTGTTGGTATGGGTGCCCCATTAATCTGCATTGTAGTATTGTCACAGTTTTTATACAAGATGTATATATTTCAGTGATGGTGTATAATAATTTTGCTCTACATAATAAAATGAATTCTTATATAAACATAATGTGTTCAGTCATGAAACTGTATTTACAATTTTTAATGCTTTCTAATATTGGGGAGGGTTGAGAGAAACCTTTTGTTGGGAAAGAAGGCAAACTATTCTGGTTTCTACTAGGTTTTCACTTTATCGTTCATATGGTATGTTCTAACTCATCTAAACAGCTTAAAACAAATTGTTGTAAAATTCAGTTTCACTTACAGCTTTACTGTGTTAAGGCATGGGCATATTAGTGACTTCATATGAAAGTAATCTTATCCAAAGTATAGAGAATAGAATGTATTTATTTACAGCAAGCTTACCCTCAAAATTAATAATAAATTAAATGTGAACTAACAGGAAACATAGTAAAATGTAGTGCATTGTTTATGATACATGATCTGTGTGGTTTAATTGTCCTAACAGTGTTGGGAAAAAGAGTATAAATTATAAGCCTTGTTATGTCATCATTTTTATGTGTCTGTTATTTCATGTTTCCTATGTTCTCAGCAGTTTGTTTTCAGAAATCCTCAGTTTGTGTAGGAATTAGGTTAACTGCCACACAACGGTTAACCTAATTCCTATATATATCTGGAAAACACAACAGGATGCAACCAATGAAGAAGATCCTCAGTTTGTGTTCTGCACCTGGAGTAAGGATGATTTTTGTTTTTGTATTTCAGGGACCAGATTGTTCAGGTCCAAAGGAAATGAACCTTCCATCCATGCAGGGTCCTGTGGTATTTGAACTGAAAGGTTTACTTTCTCCAAAAAAGAGGATGAGGACAGGTTTTATTGACAATGATAAAGCTATTTGCAGTGAAATTTCTGATATACAAGACAGTTCTGTTGATGACAATTCTGATGGGAAACTTAAGGAAAACAGAAAAGATACACAAGAATGTTCTGTTGAAAATGATTCTGATGGCAAAATTAAGGAAAGCAGGAAAGAACTTGGTTTGATGACACCACATAGAATGCCCATCAGTCAACAAAAGGTTAATATTTCAGTTTCATGAAATACTGGAACAGCTTTATGTACAAATACATTGTATTTGAGCCCATTGCTTGGTGAGCTACAATGTGTACTTAGCTTACTGTACTTATCTGAACATCACAGATGAATTATATGAATGTATGAGGGGTAGGCTTTCTCGGCCCTTGCACCGCAACCTACAGTGGTCTGTTGTGCTTCATCACAGATGAATTGTTAATATTCTTGTTTCATATTCAGCAGATCCTGGGTTTGATTTTTTGCCTGTAGTTCAGCAATCCTGGCAGGGTTGTTTGTGGGGGGAGTTCACCTCCAGGAAAATGGACCAGTATCTTCAAATAGGCCTTGACCACTTTTGCATCATTCATTAGTTACATCATACCATCTGTGAAAGTAAAATTAAGTAAACTACTGCTACACCAAAGTAAACTTAATGTAACATAATTTGAATTGAACTAGCATGACACAAAAGTTGAATTTGCTTCAGAAACATAAAAATAAGATAAGTGCACCATACTTCACTGTAATGTTCTCCAGTGTTCTGCACATTGTTCCCCCCCCCCTTGAGGGGCAGAATGAAATTAGAACCTTCTTCATTAAAGCTTTGATATGTCATGCAATGATATATGCATACTGGCCACTTGAACATGGTTTTATGAGCATTTAAGACATTTTAAATTATCTAAAAAGTGGAAACAAAGCCATTTTAAAATACACTTGGTCGTCGACTTACGACCAAAAAAAAAAGATAAATAAATCAATAAATCAGGATGTGCTACTGAGGCACATCGATGCCAGGAGGCCTGAGGACACTGCCAGGCAGCTGCACGTACGATAACTATGGGAGCATCTGGCAACACAGGCCTCCCACACACACAGGCATCCTCTCTCACGTACACTCGGTCGCTTTCAAGCATCTGTTGCCGATGGTGTATTAATTAAAATTCTACTGAAATACTACCCGTAAAATACTGATATATTGGGTTTTTGGACTTTATCCATCGTCCTGGTTTTTAAGATAACTAATAAAAACACAACGTTTCGGAAACTGGATCTGTTTCCGTCCTCAGGTGAAGGAAAACACCTATTCTGTTGGGTCCGTTAGAGAGAGCTAGCCTCAATCACTGGACCCAGTGATTGAGGCTAGCTCTTTCTAAGGGACCCAACTGAATAGGTGTTTTCCTTCACCTGAGGACGGAAACAGATCCAGTTTCCGAAACGTCGTGTTTTTATTTGTTATCTTAAAAACCAGGACGATGGATAAAGTCCAAAAACCCAATATATCAGTGTGTTATACACCATCGTCAGAATCCTATAGTAACTACCCATAAAATGTCTAGTAAAAGGAAAATGCCTTCATCCACAGATACGCCAGTTAAGAAGTCAAGGAAAACTATTGATTTAGAGTGTAAAATGAAAGTTATCCAGCAGTAGGAAGGTGGAAAGAAAGTGAATACGATAGCACGTGACTTGAAGTTATCACATTCCACGGTATTGACGATACTTAAGGACAAAGAAAGAATTCGGGAAGCTGTGTTAGGTTCTGCACCTATTAAGTCTACAGTTTTAACCAAACAACCACAGGGACCCATCCATGAAATGGAGAAATTGTTTATGTGGATGGAAGATTTAATACAAAAAAATACACCCATGAGCCTTCACACTGTGAAGGCTAGAAGTCTGTTTCAGAGTTTAAAATCACGCGCCAGAGATGATTGCGCAGAAGATTTTCAGGCTAGTACTGGGTGGTTTAAGCTTTTTAAAAAAAGATTTATTTGGCATAATGCACGTGTCACAGGAGAATCAGGAAGTGCAGATGAAGATGGAGCCCAAAAATTCGTTGATAGTTTCTGTGCTTTAATCAAAGAAGAAGGTTATCTACCAGAACAAATATTCAATGTAGATGAAAGCGGCTTGCAATGGAAACGCATGCATACACGCATGGAAACACACATACACCAAGAAGCGAAAAAGGTGCCAGGATTCGAAGCTTTTAAGGATCGGTTGACTTTGTTGCTTGGTGGGAATGCCGCAGGTTTTAAGCTGAAGCCTTTTCTTATTTATTATTCAGAAAACCCTCATACATTTAAGCACATCAACAAGCACACACTTCCTGTTTACTACTGTTCAAACCCTAAAGCTTGGATGACTCAGGCACTGTTTGAAGACTGGTTCATGAACTGCTTCATTCCCCAGGCTCGTGAATAGTGTGCGAAGAGAGGTATCCCTTTCAAGATTTTATTGGTTATAGACAATGCCCCTGGTCACCCCCCTCATCTGGACGACCTTCATCAAGATGTTAGAGTGGTTTTTATGCCACCTAACATAACCGCTCTCATTCAATCCATAGATCAGGGTGCTATTTCAGTATTCACGGCTCACTACCTCAGAACGACATTCGCACAAGCCATCGAAGTGATAGATTCTGATGCTGATTTATCTTTGTGAGACTTCTGGAATCAGTACAACATTCTTCAATGTATCAAGAATATTTCGACCACGTGGGAATGTGTAACAAAGAATTGTATATCTGGCATTTGGAAAAAGTGTCTAAAATGTTATGCGAGTACATTTGAAGGATTTGAAAAAGGAGAGGAACTGGAAGTGATTATAGAAAACATATTTAAACTTGCAAAAAATCTTAAACGAGGATGTAAACTGGAAGACGCAGAGGAGTTGCTGGATTGTGAGACAAGAACCTTCGGATGAAGAGTTGATTGAATTGGAAGCACAGAGAGTGGCAGAAGAAAAAGCGAGAGAGGAAGAAGAGAAAGAAAGAGAGCCAGAAAAGAAATTCAGTGCAAAAGGTTTATCAGATTCTTTTTCGCAACTGAATAAAGCTCTTGCCAGTTTTGAAGCAATGGACCCTAATGTCCAACGATTCACAAAGGTTGAACATATCATTCAAGATGCTGTGCATTGTTATCGTGAGATATATGAAGAAAAAAGAAACAAACTGTTCGAACAAAGCTTAGCATGTTCCCCATCAAGAAAACATCTCCTACCTCTACCCAAGAACATTACCCTGATGGTCATTTGTATTAATTTTTACGTTAATTTTAGATTGTAATTTTATGTTTACAGTACAGTATGTACAGATAGCCTAGGCGTAGAAACGAAGATATGTACAGTATCGCTAAGTAAAAGATAAAAACATTACTGTATTTAAAATGAAAAATAAAAGATGATTAAAGTGTAAAAGTTTTTAAAAATAAATTGTAAAGATGATAGAAAGGTTAAGAAATGCTGTTAATGAATATATGACCGACATACAACCAGATTGACTTATGACCTATCAGTCAGAATGGAAGTCGATCGTAAGTCGACGACCAAGTGTATAAGTTTTGAAGAATTAGAAAGAAAATGATGATTTCTTGTTATTTGATCATGGATAGCACTGTTCCAAAATCATCTGGATACCATTTCCAATATATGTTTTTATTCCTGGGCTTAGCCTTGACATGGCAGCAAAAGAAACAGCTGGTGTTGTAGAATTGTGAATGAAACCTAAAGTTAAGACAATAATTTCAACTTCTGCATCTCATATAGTTTTGTTGTGAAATTGAATGCTTATCAGTGATTAAGCTCCAGTCATGAAAACCTAAGGAATTTGAACACATTGTGTTGTCTGCAACCTTTTATGCAGAAACTATGGGGCAGCAGCTTTGTTTGGTTCCTCCAGTAGAGAGAATGTGTATGTTAATATGGTTCATGTAATACGCTTATTTTGTCGATAGGATTTGTCTTTTGAAGAAATAAAACGGAAGTTGAATAGAAGTGAAAAGTTGGCCGAATTGCGAACGTCATTGACAAGGTTTGACAAAAGTGCAAAAAAACTGAAAGCACTTGAGGAGAAGAGAAAGGAGGCTGAGAAGCTGCAGCTGAAGAAGTTCCAAGCTATAGAAATTGAAGTTCCAGCCAGGTAATGCTAAATCTTTTTGTTATATAAGGTCACTTTTTGTAGCAGAATTAACACTTTAATGAGTGTTCACATATAAAGTGCATCCCCAATTTCAGATTTCTTTGGGGAGCACTGGATTTTAACACTAAAATGAAAATCTGAAATAGAAGAAATTTAATACTGATATGAAGTCATCTGTGGTCTAGTGGTCAGAGTTTCTGGCTAAAGATCCAGAGGTCTGGGTTCAATTCCTGGCGCTACCAGATTTTCTGAGAAGTAGTGGGTCTGGAACAGGATCCACTCAGCCACATGAGGATAATTGAGGAGCTATTAGCTCTTTCAAGGAAATAATGGCTCCAGTGTATAAAACAGAAATTAACGGCTGTGGGGATTCATTGTGCTGACCATGCGACACCCTCTATCTGCAAAAGTTGGCGTTAACTTTGCTGACAAGCTGCGGTCACTTGGTCGGTATAATTTGCTTGCGGGCTGAAACCATGGAGTTTGTTTGGTTTTTTATGAAGTCAGTGTAGCAATTAAATGTTGTTCCCAGTTTGTATCATCTGCTGCAGTATAACGTATTCACTTGAAATAGCATCCATTAAATAAACAAAAAAAAAGAAGCTTCAACTGTCCATGTATAAAATTGAAATGTAGTTCTGAGATCACCCTGAATGAATGTTTGTTGGGTGTTTTCTGTAAAGCTGGTGAGCGTGCCACTTACTTGTTTTTGCATGTGGACACTAATGGGGAGTGCAGCAACAGATTACATTGCTAATCATGTTCTTTTAGTAAGTCTAACTAAAGTCAAAAAAGGAGTGTATTATTCCAGTATTACATTATTTAACTCTCTACCCCTCAATATCAAGCAGGTTGCACATGACACTAATAAATTTAAATATAAATTGAGAAAGTTTCTTATAGAAACTTCTATTGAAGAGTATCTTGATAGGAATAATAAATTGGATCTTGGGGTATCCCAGTAATTATAGCTTTGTATTTTAGTTTGCATTCGTTAGTTTCTTATATATATATTTTAATTGCTATTTATCTCATGTTAAGACAATCTTATGTAATATATGAATGTAATCTACTGACATTTTCTGTATCCAGTGGTAATGTACCTGAATGGATTGATGAATGATAATAAAAAATAAAATAAATAAAATGATTGTTTGGGATGTTCTGCATAAGAGGTTTATACATTACTGCAGGTCAGTGGCTGAATCATCTTTTGCCTGGTGGCCATAGAAACGCACATTTGCTTGTGGGGATTGCTAGCATATTGTATTGTAGATTGTCAGGATGTTAGTGATTAACAAATTATGAAAGATAGTGGGTGTGATCATGGCACATTGGAAAGTCATATACCAGAAATTGCCAAATGGGACCAAAGAAAACCACAGAATGCCTTAGGTAGGATAGCTGGTCCATAAGCCAGGATTTGAATCCAGGACCTCTTACGTATGAAACGTGAAGAATAAGTGCTACATTGCAGTGATTATGAAGACAGCATAAAATGTCAAGAATTTGGTGTTTTCCATATAAATAAATTTTCTTCGTAGTCCTCAGAAGAATGTCTTCAGCAGTCCAAAGAAAGTGGGCACAAGCCCACAGTCCACACCTTCCAAGTCACCTGCATATCAGCGCTTCACATCACTTGTGCTTCCGGCTTCTGCTGCCCTGCCGCTTCCCTTCAGCTACCGCTGCTTAGCTGAGATCTTCCGATGTGTTGATGCTGTGGGGTGTATGCTGTATAAACGCAGGGAAATGATTACATTCAGGAAGCTGAAACCCGCTGTTCAGGAGATGCTCAGGAGGTTAGTGGATCTATCAGACTTAATTCCTGGTAATAAACATTTCTAGCAGTTGGAACAGCACTTCTGCACAGATACAGACATAAAAACAGATCTGGTGAACACAGGATTACACTTTTTAAAGTTAGCCCAATAATAAAATAATCTGTTTATGTGGACTTCATACTCCAGGAAATGCTTCTTATTACTTTAAGCTCTTGTCATGTTATTTGTTTCCAGAACTGTGGGTTTGGTGGTTTAGGGGGGAAACGCTTTGTTTCTGTGTTAGGTGTCTTGGGTTTGAGACTGGATGGGTTCACTGCAGGGTTTTCCATGTGCCTGTCCCCTTACTTGCCTCTAATTTTGTGAATATGGGGAATATGCCATGGGTTGGTGCCTGCATTAAGCCACAAGTCATCTCTTCTGGACATGATCCATACACTCAACCCCAACTAAACTCCACCATTGCTGAGGTGTACATAAGTCAGTAAGACTGAACAATATATAACTGGAAGCATTAGGTCCCACAGCAACAGTTTTCAGAAACCAAACAGTTGAATGAATGGATGTACGAGGGGGGACCCAAAAATAACTGGAGCCGACCTGTTGCTCGCGCATGCTTTGTAGTTACGAGTTGTGCTGCCAGATGGTGTTAGCTGGGGGTCTCCCGTGACTGTTAGTGAGCTGGCGTCAGTCTGAGTTAAGTGGTTTGTCTGTGGTGCTCTGTTGTGTGCGTTCCTGTTTCAGCCCTTTGGCGATTAGTGAGATGGCCGACCAGAAGGAACAATGAGTGTGCGTGAAATTCTGGATCGTTCTGCACTTCACTCTTCAAGTCGTGGCAAACATTCACGCGGTTTTCTCTTTGGTCATCTCCGAGCAAGCGAGAAACAAATTTTGCAGACACCCGTCTCATGTGCAAACCTTCGGTTAAAATTCGCTGGACCATGCTCCATGAGATGTTCGTTTTCTCAGAAAGTTGGTCAATGGTCTTTCGACGATCTTCATCAAGCAAAATTTCACGCACACTCTTTGTTCCTTCTGGTCGGCCATCTCACTAATCGCCAAAGGGTTGAAACAGGAACGCACACAACAGAGCACCACAGACAAACCACTTAACTCAGACTGACGCCAGCTCACTAACAGTCGCGGGAGACCCCCAGCTAACACCACCTAGCAGCACAACTCGTAACTACAAAGCATGCGCGCGCAACAGTTCGGTTCCGGTTATTTTTGGGTCCCCCTTCATATAAGGGGTGGGCCTTCTTGGCCGTTGCACCGCGACCACAGTTATCTATTGTGCCCCCCTTCTGATTATCCCCTGAACAATCCTGCACTTCGAATGAAGCACAGGAACTTTTATGCGAGGATGTTGAAATAGTTACTTGGTTCCATAAAATATTGACCCAAGTGACATAATCTTAAATAAGCTAAGGCCTCACATTCACACAGGATATGTGTAGCTGCTTCATTTTCTTCTTGACACCTCTCGCAAGTGGGACTATTACTTAGTCCCAGTTTGAAGAGGTGTCCTTTAAGGTGACAGTGTCCTGTAAGTAGTCCCACCACCCATCATAGCTGGTTCCTGTTTAACTTTAACAGTTCCTTCGCTCTTTTAGTAGAGGGTCCCTTTGCTTGCCTGAGTCCAGTTAAGCATCCCCAGTATTTCTTGTGCTTCATATTTGTCCAGTCTCTGATTGCCTTTCTGGCAACTCATATAGAGATACCACAGGCTGGTCCAGGTCCTATGAATAGATGTTCAGCTCCAATCTTAGCCACTTGATCTGCTGTTTCATTTCCAGCAATACCCTCATGCCCCGGCACCCATATCAGTTGTACCCTGTTATGTTTGGCCAGTTCCGTGAGAGTTTGGAGGCAAACCCAAACCAATTTTGAGTTGATCTGGTGTTTGTCAAGTGCTTTAAGTGCAGCTTGGCTGTCAGATAGAATGTAGATGTTCCTATTTCTGTAGTTCCTATCTAGATTCTCCGCAATACATGCCTTAATGGCATATACTTCTGCCTGGAATACTGTCATGTACTGCCCAAGGCAGAAACTAAGTTTCCGCTTCGTGCCATAGCAGAACACACCAGCTCCAGTGCCCTTATTTATCTTGGAGCCATCTATATACCAGATCAGTCCCCCTTTCCTATCGGGCCAAAACCCATCTTCCCATTCACTCCTGTCAGGAAATCTGACTGTGAAGGGTTTTTCATATACATACCTCAGTATCATTTTGTCAGACCCCATTTGTAATATGGGTTCTTTATTCATGTCCTGAGTTATGCATGCATGTCCGAAAGTATCGGATTAAGGTTTCCATTGATCACTGCATTGGAGAAGGTAGATTCCTGCCCTGGCCTCTGCCACCAACTGTAGATGCAGTGGGGGGAGTCCAAGGAGTATGTCTAGTGCAGCTGTTGGAGATGTTCGAATTGCTCCTGTGATACTCAAGCAAGCCAACCTTTGCAATTTTCTAAGTTCTGCCTTGCTTGTCTTGAGTTTAACTCTGGGCCACCATACTGTGGCGCAGTATGTAATTGTGGGTCTTACAACCGCAGTGTGTAGCCAATGGACAGCATGTGGCTGCAGTCCCCAAACATGCTTCTGCATGTCCAAAAAAGCCTTATAGGCTTTATTGATGACCTTGTCCAGCTGCTTTTTCCATGTCAGTCCCTTGTCTAATACTAGACCAAGGTACTTGACATCGCTGGATAGCTGGTTCGTCTTATGGAAGAGGGTCAGTTCCTTAAGGCCCTTTATATTTCTCTTCCTGGTAAACGGTATAATTACCATCTTGTTAGGATTGATGGAAAGGTTTGTTCTTTCATACCATCGTTGGACCGTGTACAGAGCTGTTTGAAGACGCTCTGATACTGTCGAAAGGAATTTTCTGTTTATGAGGATTGCTATGTCATCAGCATATCCCACTGTATAATACCCATCATCATTAAGTCCCCACAGGCGATCGTCAGTGACCAGGCTCCACAGCAGAGGTGAGAGCACGCCCCCCTGCAGACGCTCCCTAGACGCAGACGCCCCCAGAGTCTCTCCTGATAGTGTGGCAGCTATGGTTCTGCTCTCCAGCATAGCACTGATCCACCTGCATATTGCAGGCTCTATGCAATGCTTTCCATTTGCCTGTTTGATTATATCAAATGAGGTTCTATCGAAAGCTCCCTCTATGTCAAGGAATGCTCATAAGACAATATCCCTGTGTTCAATCACACTTTCTGTGCATGTTACCACATTATGTAGTGCGCTTTTGGTAGATTTACCTGTTTGGTAGGCATGCTGGTTTCGGTATAGAGGATATGTCCTCAGCGCCCTGTCCCTGATATGCCCATCCACTATTTTCTCCATCATTTTCAAAAGGAAAGATGACAGGCTGATATGACGATAAGCCTTAGCCTCAGTGTAATCTACTTTCCCAGGCTTTGGGATAAATGTCGCCTTAACTTGCCTCCAGGCCATGGGGATAAAACCATATGCCATGCAAGCTCTATATATGCAGCATAGGTTTGGAACTAAGAGTTCTGCCCCTTGCTGCAAAAGTGCCGGTACAATTCCACCTGTTTCCGCTGACTTAAATGGTCTAATGGTATTCAGTGCCCATCTGATTTTGGACTGGTTAATTATGACTTTGGCCCGGTTCCACTCTGCCCTGTTTGTCTTGCTTTGGCAAGTGCCCAGGTTTTGCTGACCCTGTCCATCGTTCAAATTATCAATCAATTTTGAATCAGGAAAGTGAACCCTGAATAATTCATTCAGTGTCTCCCTTCCTGTTTGAGTATACTGCTGGTTAGGCGGCTTAATCGTGCTGACCTTGTTGGTCGCCTGTTTTGCCATGATTCTCATGAGTCTGGCACTGCCTGGTACATCATTGATCTTCTGGCAGTGCCTCCTCCATGAGGATCGCTTGACTTTCCTTATTTCATGTTGTAACAGTTAAGGGCTTCCTTGTAGGTGTCCCACTGCCCTGTTGTTTAGCTGTATTAAACAGGCTTCTCGTTTTGGTTCTAAGCCCACTCAGCTGTTTTTTCTACCAAGGCACTCTCCTTGGTTCATGAGTGGTCCTAGCTGGAGAATTCCTCTTAAAGAATGAGATAATAGCCCGTTGCAACTGGTCAATGGACTGATCGACATCCTTTATTTTGCGTTTATTTTGCGAGATGGTCTCCAGATTTACTTTTAGGTCGTCTTTGTAAGACTCCCAATTGGTTCTCTTAGGATTCCTATAAGTAGCTTGATCTACTGTAATGTTGCTTATATGAAAGCATATATATCGGTAATCCGATGGGGATGGCCCATCAGATACATGCCAATTACTGATCAGGTTTCCTATTTTATTGGTCCCTAGTGTCAAGTTGATAACCTCCTGCCTATTGCAGACCACAAAGGTAGGCTCGTTACCTTGGTTCCATGAGGCATTCTCCTCTTGGGTTGATGTCAGTGCTTCTCCACAGTATGTGGTGCGCATTGGCATCACATCCAATAATGAACTGCTTTTCCCTAAGATGGCAATATTCCATGATGTCCCTCACTTCTTTGGAAGGTGGTGGTTCATCCGAGTCATATGGAAGGTAGGCTGAAGTGACGATAAGCTCCTCACAGCTTCCACCCAAGGTGTATGTCATCTTCACCGTTGTTGTGTCTCTCGAACAGAACTCCAGCAATGGTAAAGCATTAATATGATTATTAACCCAGAGGTCACAGGTTCAAGTCCCGATGAGGTCATTGGATTTTTTCAATTGACCTAATCCTTCCGGCTGCACTAGGGCCTTGGGCCCAACTCAGCCTCTAACAGAAATGAGTGCCAGGAATTAATTAAATAATTTTCTGGGGAGTATAGTGCGGCCAGCGCGTAAGGCTGACAGCCTTACCCCCATCTTTGAGCCGATTGTCTAGATAATGTGGGACCCTCAACGTCTCACAACCGTATTGGCCTTCACGGCCTGTTACAAGGATAGCTTTACTTTTACTATGCATGATCTCACATTTTCTCCAGTACCGCAGAGTAGACAGTATGTTGTGTGTTCATTCTGCAATGCTGGGAAAGGTGTCCTAAATACCTTCTTCCACATCCCCTTTTCCTTTATCAGACCTGGTTTCCTCTGAGGGAGGTCCCTGATCTGGTAAGGTCGTGTTGACGAGAGGAGGGATTGTCTCCTCATCAGATATTCTCTTCCAGTCAACTGAGGGAGTGGGTAAATTATCCCCCTCCCGTTCAGAGGCTGAATTGGATGATACCATATCTGACACAGGTTCTGCCCGGCGCTGTTCCTCAGATTCATTCAGCACCTTAACAGTCCCCTATGAGAGTCCTGTGGATATTTTTTAAGCAGTCCTCTGTATAATATTATAAGAGTTCTGGTCTTTGAATAAGATAGTGCCTTTCGACTCAGATTGCTTATCTAGTACCCTCAAGTTCTCCATATGGAGTCCTGGATTGAGGTCTGCAGTCCATTTCAACAGCTCTTCCTGATTCTGGGCAACTTTGTCCCTAGTCCGGAGAGCTACTTTAACAGGCTTGGGCAGGTTCTTGGCATCAGTAGCCTTCACCCTGGCCCCTGATTACAGCCTGTGGTTGTCAATGGCTTTGGTTAACCATTGAGCAGATTGTTGGTCGGCGCATGCATAAATAAGTGCACCTCCCACAAGTCTGTAGGATTTCAGGTGTGGTAGTTCTCCCTTTGGAGTCCTACGTGCTTCCAGAATGGATTTCTGGTCATCTTCGATAAGCTTATCCTCAGGATAAATTTCTTTGAAGATAGCTACCTTTATCTTGGTCAGAGCCTCCTTGTAAGTCGCTGGGCCATTTCGGAGTTCTGGCCATTTCTGTAGGGGTACTGCCCTCCAACCTGGGCCTGTTAAAGGTACCGGCGTTTGTTTCTCCCTGCTTGGATGAGCCTGCATTTCCTGGTTGCTGACTGCCCCCAGTTCCTGCTTTGCTTGCCCCAGCTCTTGCCTTTTTCAACTTCTGTCTAGTGCATCCAGACAAGGATTTTTTCGCTAGGTGGGGTCTACCTACTCCAGCAATTAGGTGTCACAATCCTTCTCCTACTGCAGGTGTGCTAAAGGTACTAGCCCCCTGTAGTGGTATGTCAGTGCTACAGACTCCCAATAGAGTTTTTGGTTTTACCTCAGGTAGGTTTCAAACCACTGTTTTGTCCCTGTCTTTGGCTGAAAATTCAACAGCAGGTTCGCTGGCTGCACGTGGGTCCCTTTGTGGTTCACCAGAGCTTCCAGCCCCCTGCTGAAGCATTTCTCATATGGATCCCCTTGGAGGGGGGACAGTTTCCCCCCCACACGAGTTTTGGGGATTTAAAAGGTTGCCACCCACTGCGCCCCATATGGGTGGAAGTCATAAATACAATAGGGTGCTGCCTGGTGTCCCGAGGGAATCGTTCAAGACACTGGCTAATTGCCACCCCAGTGTCATGCAGCCCTCAGCATGATTCCTCACACCTTGGCTTAGGTGGTCTGGTCCTGTAGTAAATGAAACCCTCACAAGCCTCCAGAGAGGGGGGAGGGGTGTGACACCAGTTAGTCATGGGCTTGTGACCAGGGCAACCTACATGAGAGAGTTGCCCAGTGGGGGTAGCTTATGAGCTCCCCCATTCCCACCCCTGCACACGGGTTGGTCAAACCGTTCTAGAGTGTTGAGCCCTAAGGCTTGCAGCACCTTATCAGTACTCTAGGGAGACAATTCAAATAGCTGAAGCTACCCCCATAGAAGTGCTCTCCCACATTCGTTGCGGGTATACCATAGTGAGACCCAAGAGTCATTATGCCGCCATGTGGGAGGCTCTGGTCATAAAGCCATCGCCCTTTGTGGGAACTTGGCTGCCAGCCCCAGAAGGTCATACTGATCCAGACCTCGAGCCTGTCCTTGGCCGGTGGGGTCACATGGCAGTGTCCCAATGCATTCCTGGTCCATGATTCGGCCAACCTCACCGAGGATGGCGTCATTACCACCTGTAACATGTGACACAAAAACGTCACAGTTACCCCGGGATCAAACCCACAAACAGTTAAAAATATGTGAAACAGTTTAACAGTTATGAGATGTGATGTTCTCACAAAGGTAACTGAAGCTTGCTGTTTTCTCAGATGTGGTATTATGTAATCTGATTCTAGTTTAATGGTATTTTGTAGGATCATGGTACCTCCATTTTCAGGATAGAAGAGGCCCTTGAAGATGGAGTCAGAACATTCCTCCAAAATACCATTAAACTTCTACCATGCTATTACTTGGCTACATTAACTTGATATGTGGAAGGTATACAGTTTTTTCGCTGAAAAAATTTTGAATGGAATTTTAAAATATGCAAGGAAGAGTGGAAGAATGCTGTTTCACATGTAAAGAAACTCAAAGCTGATTACTAGGTGAGGGATAATCTTGTAGAGTAATAGAAGAAATGGTGATCAAGTTTGATGATGGCAACAGTGAAACTGTTTTATGCAGCAATGAATCATTCTCTTCAGCTAAGAAGCAGATGATTATGCAAGCAAAGATCATTCATGTGCAGTTAAACTATTTTTGTTACTTAGAAGTCTGCATTCACACTGTTATATTGTACTATGAAAATAAGAACATGTCAGTTATGGTAATACATTTTATCATTGAATATGCTCACCACTGATAAGAATTTTCCCTTTCCTCCCTGTAGGCAGCTGTCATATCACCAGCACTACTCACTGTCAGTGGCTAAAAAGTTAATATAACCTGTTAATATGAGGTGTCACGTCCCAAATGACAGTTGTGAATAGCTGTGAAACCTTTTCTCTCACTTAGAAGAACAACAGGGGTTGATGACTGAGAACAAAGGGAATATGGGAATATTTTGAATTAAGAGAATTGAACTGTGGAAAGAATAGTGTTATAAAACGAGATAAAGCTATCCCTTTAACAGGCTGGTGAAAGCCCATAGGTTTGTGAGATGTCGAGGCTCCTACATTTTCTCTAGATAGTTGGCTCACAGATGGTGCTGAGATTGTCAGCCTTATGTGCTGGCCACCCTTTATCCCCCAGGAAGATTCTTGGTACTCATTTCTATTAGAGGCTGAGTTCACCCCAGGGCCATAGTGCAGCTGGAAGCATTAGGTAAATTGAAAAAATGCACCTCCCCGCTTAGAATGAGGTACTTTATGATTTATAAAGCATAATAATGTAGGCCGTGAAATCTTGGAGATTATGCTGGGCTGAATATGCAATGTTTATGGGACAAAGAAATATATGTTTTGATGGGGAATCTCTTGTAAACTGACAACCCAGACTTGGCAAGGTAGGATCTTCAGGCAACAGGTTGTGATATGATGAGGATCGTCATTTTCAGTATGACACCCTTACTGCTCCGTGGCAGGTTCTCATGTTGTATGATGTTGAACCTTCTAATGTTGAACTTTCTGATGTTATTACCAGAAAGTCACTTTTAGTGGATAAGTGGCATTGGAAACTCACAGGAAGTTGATTTTGTTTCAGAAATTTCACAGAACATCACTTGGCTCAGATCAAAAGAGTTTATCCAGCTGCATATGTCTTTCATCAGGAGAAATGTAGGAATTTCGGATCCACCTCTAAAGTGGATCAGTATGATCTCACTTTAACACCTGTGCTCTGTTCCAGTGTTGAAAGTAAGTTTGTTCAATCTGAGGTTATTTATTGACATTTTTTCATCTGCTCTTGTTGTTTAGTGTTGCACGAGGTGGGAAGATGATCATGAATAGTGAGTATTTAAAGATCTGGAAGGAAGTGGTTGTAGCATGTGTAAAGATACTCTCCTGGCATTTATCTAATAAGGATAATGAAGATGATAATGAAAAGTTGTTAAATGTAACAAGTCTAGCCAAGATTTTAACAGGATATCGCCTAAGTACGGGTGTAGTTATTGTTAAACCAACATGCGCTCGACTTGAAGGTAAATTTTGTATTACTCCTACGTGATTGGATACGAACATTGTGATAATACAAATGATGAATGATGAAATTTAAAGAAGGGATGATGACATTTCCAAACAATGAAGACTGAGATATGTATGCATAAACTTATATTTTTATCCATTTTACTTGGTTATAAAACATGATTCTCTTACTCTGAAGGGTGAACATTAAAGTTTCTGGATATTGCATATAAGGAAAGGTCAGTTTCATGCTATGTAATATCATGAATCAGAATGGACTGGAGTGAGGTGTACAGTTTGGTGGAAGGTGGAGAGGACTGGAGAGAGTATTAATCTTTCCTGTTAAATGCCACATTATTGTGATGCCACACATCTGGCTAATGGAGCATTAATTTTTTCAATACTTCTGTGATTACCTCCAAGTTAAAATAGTGCTGTTAGCCCTGTACTACCTAAAGTAAAACTGAACTCCGTGGTCTTAGTCCGCAAGTGAACTATACCGACTGAGTGACCACCGCTTATTGGTGAAGTTTGCTTAGTTGGGGGTTGAGTCCAACTGGGTCCACTCGGCACAGCAGCCACTGATTGGCCTATTGTAGCCTGCCCCAGGTGATTATGATGATGGAGAATTTGGTGGGATGAATATTGGCAGGGGAAACCGAAGTACTTGGAGAAAACCTGCCCCAGCGCCACTTTGTCCACCACAAATCCCACTTGATCAGACCCGGGATTGAACCTGGTCCACCACGGTGGGAAGCCAGCGACTAACCGCTGGATCTATGGTGCGGCCTTGACAGTGAAGTTAGTGCCAACTTTTGCAGATAGAGTGTGTCACGTGGTCAGCGCAACAGATCCCCATGGCCGTTAATCTTGGTTTTCTAGACCGGAGGCGCTACTTTTCCCTTCAAGTAGCTCCTCAGTTATGCTCGCGAGGCTGAGTTCCAGACCCACTACTTCTCAGAAAATCTGGTAGCACCAGGATCTCTGGAACTGTAGCCAGGAACTCTGACCACTAGACCACAGAGACGGTCACCCTGCACTACCATTTAATTTAAATTCCCTACCTTTTGACATATGTTCGTGCTTTTAAGAGACATTTGATGAGTTCATGGACGAGAATGCTAAACCTTTAACGTCCTAATGACGCAAGCAGCAACCGGAGTTGGCCAAATGGCACATATATGTGACGCAGGACATGTGCACTCTTTGGGAGTGCTGACAGTTTGGCCTTGAGTTTGAAACCAAAACAAACCTACATGAGGTCATGTCAGTGGTTCATTCCTTAGTTCTGAACAAAGAAATCGTTTATCTTGGTCCTAGTTTCGAAACTATTTATGTTTATATATGACTGTTTATGACCGGGTCAGCCAAATATAGCCCAGCTTTGTTCTGAGAACTGAAGAGGAAATATGTTTCTGTGATTGCAGATCAGTGCTTCCAGAGCTTTCAAGGAAGTGTGACGTATTCAAGGATTGGTTTTCAGTGGCGAATTATCAGTTAGGAAGTCAGTGTTGGATTGTGTAATATTTCTTTTTCGCTTAAAAGTTAGTGTCAGACTGTCATATATTTCGTTTTATATTATTTTGTGTCTCGGAAGAGGTATAAACCCACTGAGGCAGTATTACTTTGTGAGTAAAAGGCATCTTCATCACTGTGACTTTCCGTATCAGTGTCGGACTGGCACCTTTTCGACTACTATTACAATTATTTTTTATTGCTAGTGGGGTGGGACTAAGTCCCTTGTACTGCTGCCACTTCTGGCCTATTGTACCATACTATTATAGTTACTTTGCATCCATATATTGCGAGTCTTTGTCAGTCAACATAATTTATTCGACTTTGCTGGAACCCCCCCCAAGATGGAGCTCAAAATTGTGCCCGATATTCCAAACTTCTCGATGCAGAAGAACTAGAGGAAATATTGATGGAAGAGGAATCTGATGAAGAGTTAGAAGATATCAATGAGTTCATTGAACCTCGAGCAAATATGTTGTCGTCATCATCATCATCATCATCAGACAACGAGGCAGAGGAAACGGAAATTCGGTTTTGTGATAGAAGACCCGGGGATTCACCAAAGGTACTAGACTTCACTGGTCCTCCGAGTGGAATCAACAGATCAGCTGCTCCCAATATAAATGCACAGTCCTCTCCTTTTTCCATTTTCATTCTGTTTTTCCAACAAATATTCCAAATTTTTTTACAAGAAACCGACAGATATTTCCACCAATTTATGGCATGCCAAGATGCTCCAGGCCCTTCTGTTCAACCGCCTGAAGTCACAATTGAAGAGCTATATAACTTTTGGCAATAATTATTCAAATGGGCCATGATCAACGGGACACCCTCAAAGATTATTGGTCAAGAGATGAGCAATACTACACTCCATTCTACCGTAACACCATGGTACGAGGCTGTTTCTTCCATATTTTGAGATTCCTACATTTTGAAAATAATGAAACTCCTCCCAATCGAGATGACCCAGAGTATGATAGTCTCTGGAAAATTAGAAAAATTTTTGACAATCTCAACAACAAATTTTGTGAAGTTTACAATCCAGCAGAACGTCTTGCTGTTGATGAAGTCATAGTGTTGTTCAAAGGAAGAGTGATTTATTGTCAGCATATCCCAAAGAAACGCAAGATTTGGTATAAAAATTTACAAGCTTTGCGATTCTTTTGGGTATACTTATGACATGACAGTTTATTTGGGCAAACAAAGGCAACTTGCGACAGAAGAAATTACATCAACACATGGCATTGTTCTCCAGCTAATTCGAAGAGTAGAAGGCTTGGGACACAAAATTTACATGGACAATTATTTCAGTTCTCCTGCTTTATTTGACGATCTTTTAGACAGGAAAATAAATTCATGTGGCACCGTTCGCAATGATAGGCGTGGAATGCCACAAGAAATTCGGCCCAAGTCAATGAAATTGAAAAAAGGGGAAATTGTTACAAGAGTCAAGGGGCAGCTAAGTGTTGTTCGTTGGAAAGACAAGCGTGATGTGTATGTTCTGATGAATTTGCACCCTCCTCCATTGGAAGGAAACTTCCGAGAAGAATCTGGCCGTGCTGTCAAACCTCATGTAATTGAAGACTACAATGCACACATGGGCTTTGTTGATAAATCTGACAGGATGGTAAACAGTTATGGCATTGCTAGGAGGACATGGAAGTGGACAAAGAAATTGTTTTTCCACCTTCTAGATATGACTATTCTTAATGCATATCTATTACACGAGTCATGTGGTGGAAAAATGACACACAAAAGTTCCACGAAATATTGGTGCGGGATTTGATTCTTCAGTCACATGAGGCGAATATCACAGTCAATGGCGTTTCTTGGTGGAGGCCAAGTTCGTCTGGGGCCCAACTGAGTTGACTGGAGGTGAAACATTCACAACACTGGCCAACCAAAAGGAAACAAAGACGTCGTGTTTTTCGCTAAATAAGAAAAGCAGGAGCACGCTCTTCTATTGTAAAAAGGGTGGTGTCGCCCTGTGTGAGGTGGACTGCTTCAAGAAGTTCCACGCGCGTCAGAGTGTATCGTAAACTGTGAAGTGATGCAGTTCCAACTTGTGTACAGTCTGAACAAAATATTATTGTATATAGAGTGATTATATTTACAATATCACCATGATTCAATGTTGAAGAAAAAACAATGGGTAAGTCCTTTGGAATTTCATAACATATATAATAAAGATTATATTTTGCATTTCATGACAAAATATTCACAGTTAATTTTCATTTGTAAAACTTGCTCTTTTATGTATATGTAGAAAATTTTATTGTCTTTCAGGTTCTTTTTAGTTCATATTTCTATGTTGCATAGAATGGTAAATATGCATTTTTTTTTCTGAAAGTTTGCAATGATAATTAATTAGGGTGATTTAAATTCCAGCCGTACAGGGCTGCTGGCAGTTTAAAAGTCCGTACGTTAAAGGTTAAATGGATTTCATGCTGATATTCCTCACTTTGTATGTTAACATTGCAGGTTGTGAGAACTCAACAGAGCTTTTCAAGTTTACGTCAGATTTGTTGCTTCAGCGAAGACAGACTTTCCATAAAATCCTATTAGAGAAAGTGAAGGATTACCATGAGGTAAGAGGGTGTACTAGAAAGAATTCGGGTCATAAGAAATGGATATGGAGTTTTGGTATGCAAGTCTCCAAGAAAGTAGGCACTTGGAAGACAAAGAAAAGAAGAGATTGCTATTAGTGAAATAGGTTTTAAAGAAATAACATAGATTGTATTTTGGTTTAAGGTTATGCCTAATGGCAGGTTTTTGTATCAACATTGTTACTGAAGATTCGAGAGGGTTTATCATCAGCCATTGTGAATTGACACATTTCTTATTGTCTCATTTTGTTGTGATTAT